ACTTTATGGAATCCTTGATTCTCGTGAGCTTAAAATCCGAGATCTGCCATTCTGTTTGCCATGACTGAGAACAGAGCTTTGATAAACAGCTTGGTATCATTTGTTGGGACTGATCGAACGCCTAGTTTTCTTCGTGGCGAACTTTGCCTGTTTAGCCATTTCGTTTCCTATAAACCCCACGTAGCCAGGGATCCAACAAAAACCCAAGTTACAACTCACCGATAAATGAATTTGGTGTTGGGTGTTCATTGTCAAAGGGGCTCAAGAAGAGAAGGAAGAGATGGATTCGAGCGAGTTTTTAGTCACTGCAGATCGCTGCTTCTTTTAATATCAATTCAGCTAACTTGCCTCCAATAGCGCAAACTTCTCTGCAGTAAAAACGCTGCACGAAGAGTATTTGAAACCTCCCAATCGCCCTATGATGGTAGAAGGCACATCCTAATTTACCATTTTGGGAGGAGCTATCAGTATTTATGAAGTTATAGCTGGGACACATGGATTTCGTCTCCTGAAATTCCGTCAGAAAGGTACTGGGAGAGTTGAGGATATGACAAAGTTTGATAGGCTCAGGTCTATTTTTGACCGTAGAAAGTTTCAAGGGGCAACAAGAAAATGTGGAGGGAGTTCATACGAATGGGGAATTTTATATTGATCTGCAAAAGCTGGTAGAGACGGATACCCGGAGGATGGGTTAATGATAGTCTGAGTGCGTACGATAACCTATGACTTGGGTGAAGGACTGCATGGCGCGATGGAGTATTTATAGTTGATACTTTTGCGCCATAGCACAGAGGGCTAACTGACGAATCTAATCGGAAGTAGACAAATATATTGATTTAAGTGGTGTAAGGGTGTTGACATATAGGCGGCCAAATAAATTCAAATTTGTCGCCACGCTTGGGGCCCATTCAGTTTGACTACTCTTTGGTGGTATTTAAAAAGTACAGATACATTTCAAACTTCCCGCCTTCGAGAAGTTTGGCCCAAAATCGCAAGTTCTCTCACAAGTAACAAAATGTTCATTTTATACGTAGTTCTTTGGAATGTACCAACTGCTTCCAAAAATGGCCAGTAGAATCATTTTCAGGGTTGTATAAAGATACACATTTTAATAAACTTAACTCTGCCGCAGAAAATGGCAGTGTTCTCTTTTGTGACCTTTGATAGGTCTGTGAAAGCAGTGGGTCTGAAGTTTCGAGGAGAGTATGGAGATCTTCGGGATCATTTTCTAGCATGATCCAATCTGTATCTTCTCCATCTTTGTGCCTTGCTTTTTGAGCTTCCTGAAATAATTATCCAATAGACAATATGGCGTGTTCAAAAGTAAACGGTTCTAGAGTAGGACTTGATTTTTTTTTTTTTTTAATTTAGAAAAACTGGTAGGTGTTGTAGCCATCTCGTGAAATACTTGATCGCATCTCTTTGACCGGATGTATGCAATGAATGTCTCCCTGCGTACACAATTTCTAGCTTCGAGTGCGATGCAAGTAGTGTTTGAAAACTACTATTTTTTTAAAAAAATGTACATTAGTTTAATGAAAACATTAAGGAGAGCAAATTTTACTTAAAGGAAAAATCTCGATCTTCAATTTTGTAATTGTAGGAAAACGTCCGAATAATTTTGAATTTTCGAAAATTCGGATATAAAACAGAAAATCGAACATATACTACCTTTATAGGTGTAATTTACTCTATTCTTACAAGAATTTTAAAGAAAAAATTTGGAGCCGTTTTTGAGAAAACTTTGAAAATGTCCGGGGGACTTCGTGTAAAGTACCCTCAAATTTTAAAGAATTTATTTCAAAATCTCGAAGCTTTGTCTCGAAAGATGGACAGGAAAAATTTAGAAAAAATCCTACACATGGATTAGGCACTGTGTATGGGTTTTCAATTAGTAGTGTTCTGACGGACGGACGTTTAAAGGAAAAAAGCACTTTTTCGGTACCAGGGGACCCCAAAACGCGTATTTCCGTTGAAATCTCGTAATCAATTTTCTGCAACTTTAGATACATTTCCCTATAGCACGTATAATACTCTGTATATACGTACGTATACAGCTAAGTAAAAATGGATGGATGTGTTCCTGTTCCAGCTTAAACTCTTCAACGCGTGAACAATGTCATTTCAACAAAACTTGGTATACATTGTTACTATGGAATTACAATGGAGAAAATAAATTTGTGGAAATGCTAAGAGAACCTGATTTGCTAACGTTCCTAAATGATCCAGGGTTGATCGGTATTATCTGAATCCTCATTGGATTGGAGTTAGGAAAGATCTCGACTCTCGGGATCAAACCAGACCACTCTAGTTCATTGTAGGTAAATATGTACTTGGTATCTATTTGCAAAACAAAAATGGATCTTCTTTGGTAATTGAAATTAAATGTACATAGTAAGAAAAGACAAAATGTGTAATTTGAGCTCAAATATTGCAGTATTCGCGAATAAAATATTGGAGTTTGATAATATTCTTAATAGTTGGTGGGGTCTCCCTTCTTCGTCACAATTTCTTGAAACCACAGTGGGAATGATCTCACCAAGGGTTCTGTTATTTCTTGGTTAATCAGTCTCCATTCTCTCAACAAAGTGTTTCTGAGGTAATTTTTATTGTTGGTGTGATTCCGAACCTTTTTCGAGGATCCGCCAAACATTCTCGATAGTTGATGTTTGGTGATTAGGAAGGTGTCTGCATCCAGCGTGGAGTGTCGTTCAACCACCTGAGTTAAGTGTTAGTGAGACCAGTGTTACTGGTCATTGTTTAGGGTGAAAGCATAATCATCTGTAAGGCAGTTAATATTTGTTGGCTATGCGCATCTTCAAAATGTTGATGTAACGTGTGTGGTTCATGATACCATCAATGAAGCACCAATCTCCAACACCGTTACTAACCCTTCACCATGTTTGGTAGTAGCGGTGAGATTTCTCTCAGGTACACATTTATTTTGTCGCCTAACAATCACATTCCCGTCTGACTTTAATAAACTAAATTTACTTCCATCAGTGAAAACAACCTTCCGACAAAATTCGTATGTCATTTCTCTTCTCTTTGACTTCGCGATCCTCTTTTTATTCGTACGGTTGATGTAGGGTTTTCGACGGGCAATACGACCATTATACCATACTTCGTGAAGGACATTTCGGATAGTTTTTGCATTCACTTGCTTTCCTATTTCCCGTGTCACTTCACCTCTAATCTTTGAAGCACTTAATTGAGCGTTTTTCTTCCCATTGCAGTAAGTTACGTTGCTTGTTTACTGTTTACACCCATTGCTGCTGTTGTTACTTTTTTTGCTGTCAGAAGGGTCGGGCTGCCACGTTTCAAGTTTCTTAGTGTGAGTGGTCTTGTTCCTGTATATTACACTCTTCATTGAATTGACTGGCCTGTTTAGTATTTCGCCGATTTCTTTGATCTACCCATTCGATAGCAGGAGATTGCTTATGTTCGCTCCTCTTCTTCGCCTTGTCTTCCCATTGCTGAATAATAAATCTCCAAACAGGCAGCACAAACACTTCACAGTAACCACAGCCGACTCGTCGACTAGCAGTTGCTCTACAAAGCAATTTTGTATTTTTTGTGCATTTGAGCATCCGAGTTGAATACTACTAGCTTGATGCCAAGATCAACTGACCTTCCAAAGGTCGCGGACTACTTTGCGACTGGAAGGTAGTAATGGCTTTTGGCCTCTTAGTTACGAAGCTGAATATGCTCAACGATATTTTATTCTTTATGCCTGTTACACAGTTGTTTGTATACACACGTACATTTTTGGGTATGAAAACGCAAACTCCGGGCAACCCGCTAAAAAATCCAGGGGGAGGGGAGGCAGAGATGGAATGCCAACACTGATATGCAACAAGTCTGGGTAATGATGAATCCCATTTAAGTTATTAAAGTCAGTCCATGCCATGTTTGGGTCGAGGGATTGGCTACAAATTCCCACATGACGTCCCTGAGGCAATTGAAAAATGGGTGTAAAAACCTGTGTTCAACCGTATGACAATATAATTCTCCAAGACTGTTTTAACAATTTCAACCCTCTGACAATTTTAAGGAGAGCCTCTTAGAAGATTGTAGGTATAGAAATCTCCAACAATAAGGAAAAGTTGTGGTGGTTGAAATATTACATTTGAGAGATTGTCTTTCATGCTAGACCAGAGAGGGTGTAAATATTGCAAAGTGGGAAGGAGAGGGATGGAAGGTTAATATGATCAAATGTTTGCAGATTGGACTGGACTGCGATTTCTTCACAAAAGAATATAGTCGTGGACCAAACAAGGCAATACTGCCAAGGAAACTAGAACCATAATGTCGGTATACAACCTGTGAAAACCACTGAGGGTTGGAGCATGCTTGAGTAGATGTATTTCCAGCAAACACACAAGAGAAGGGGAATTAAGGGATTGGATTAATCAAGGTCTTCAGAATGGGTGCAAACCATTTAGAGATCAAGGTAGGAGTTTTAAGTTTTCATGCCTTTTTCTTCAATTGCCGCTGTTCATTTAGGAAGACAGGGAAGGTGGCACCGCCAGGAGCATCATCAGTGGAATCCTCTTGACCACTCCTAGCGAGGTCATAAACTCGAACGATTGTCTAAGTTCTAGATGTAAATAAAATGGTTTGATGGAAAAGGGGGCCCATTGTGGTTAATACAGTTGCTCTCTCCCCCCTTATTCTAGGCTGTTCACACCTACATAAGTAAAAACAATGCTAGATTCATAATCCACTTCTTTGAGCTTTGTGCCACACTCTCCTTATCTTCAGAAACCAGAGTACTAAAAGAACTTCCAACGGTACAACAGTACTTGTCCTTTAACACTGTTCAATTCTTAGATCTTGAATGAATGTCACAAACTGATTTTCTTGAGATTATATGAACCTGAAATAAGGTCTTCAGACACAAATGTTTGAAGCATACACCCCTTTCAATTATTCACAATAATAATTACACAAAAAATATTTCTTTGCCACAGAATGGTTTTTAAAATGTTTCAAATGGTAAATTTAATTCAAGAAACAAAGTGATGCAACTTTTCTTCAATATTTGGCTTTGATGCAAAAATATGATAATACTCAAAATTATAGTTTTGGTGATCCTATCCTATTTAGCTCCTACTCTTCTTTAGGCAGAGTAATAGCCAAATAATTCAATTTATTGTTCACAGATAATTTCTGGTTGGTTCATTTTTATAAAACATGCTTTAAACCAAAATTATAATTTGCTTAAAGCCATTGACAAAATAGAAGTAGATTATCATATTTCATAACCAAATCCTTAATTTATTTGTTCTAAAAAATCACAAGTAATTGATCAAAATGTTATTACAGTGTAAGCATGGTATATACAAGTATTCATTGTAAGCATTTAATTTCTTTGAAGATTTGTTAAAAAATAAAATTTTCCACATAACTTATTTGGAACCTTTACTTTTCAAAAAGATGTTGAAAAGCTATAGAATTGGTGATATCTACACAAGAAGTAATTCTTATATTTTCAGTACAATCCGCAAGCAATAACAATAAATTATTCAATTCACAATCAACTCACAAATGTAAGGGAATAAACACCTTATCTCTTAATAACATTGTTTTCTCATATAAAATACATACCACAGCATGTCGAAGAATAGTATATCAGTTGATAAAAAACTAAAATACATTTTCGGCACATTTTATACATCACCCTGAGAGTAATCTTCTTCATTTTATCAACATTGACATAACTCCAGATAGTAACTACCACAATAGCAGATCAAATTCTCACAATAATAATAATAATAATAATAAATTGTCGCTTTGTTTTAAATTACCGAGTGAATTTCAATATTTTAACACTAATCGGTCTTGAATTCCCAATTACATGCAGCACCAGCACTTGCCACATGGTCTCTCACTGCTTTATCAAGAACTGCTTTTATCTCTTGGCAACCTCTCAAGGCATGTTTCATCACTTTGTCCAAATGATCCAGATGAAACCTCTGAGACATTTCCAACAGTACAATCTACAAAAACAGACGATATTAAAAAAATTGGTTGCAGGATATAACTTCCTTAATATAAGAAAAGAAAACAAATAATTATTGAAAGAAATTATTGTTCCTGCAACTATTTTACAAAAGCATTATTGAATAATAAATATAAAAAAATCTATCTTTTTTGAGACGCAACCAGGCTAGCAGGGTCCATTGGACCAAGGTCTCTTAATCTGCATGTAATATTGCATTTTCTGGTTTTGTTTGGTCAAATATTTTATGACTGTTTCGTGCCCAAAGGATGTACAGAGGTCGGGTTGCAAAAGATCTTTTCATTATCTGACACTAAGTGTGAGCGATTATAAAATTGACACCTTTGTAGACAGTGTCGTTGCGGTTTAGTGTGTAGGCAAGTTTTTGATGTTGGTTGCAGTCCAGGTTTTTCGGTGATAGGAATGTTGCTGACCTTGAATGAATGGTAAAAAAACATGAAATCATCCACTTTTTTATGTTGACATTGCAAAGAATTTGGTTCATTCACAAAATGTGAGAAGACAGTCAAACAGAATTGAATAACAAGTGCTGTCAATCACACATGTTTTTGGAGAAGAAGGAGCTTCCACAACTGAGAAAATTTATAACAATGCCAAAAAAATGTAATTTGTGCCCTTGGGCGAGAAATAGGAAAGAAAGAGATGTAATTCAAAACCTGTCTGTAACAAGCATAAACAGAGTAACAGTGAGTGTGATCTGTAATAAGAGAAAAACTGTTTAATAAACAAATTCCAATATTTTGAAAGGTTGTGTTATATTAAACAATTATATTAAAGAGTTCTCTTTCATTATCCACATCAAAAAAATTACATATTACAATTTCATTGCAGGCACTTCTTGGTCCGCTGGACCCCGCTTGCCCGGCTGTGCCATTAAAATTGGTTGAAATTTGTTTCTTCCTTTTCATTAACAAAAATTCTTTCATAAAAACACAAAACCTCAGCAGAAAACAAGAGCGTGTGATCAGCAATAAAGTCCAAGGAATAAGAAAAGTCATCTATACTGTGTGAATAGGAAACAAGAGAGGGAAGGTTTGGAGGGGGAGGGAAGAATGATTGGAAAGGGGGAGGGGGAAGAGACCTGGAGAAAAGGAATGAAGTAGGAAATAATTCAGTTGCATTAAAAAATAAATATTAGGGTTAAATATTTCATTTTAATAATTAATTTTTTGAACTTTAACACAACATTGTCATCAGTGGTAGTGAACAGATTTATACCAAAATAGACAATCAGCAGGATATTCTCAGCTGACATCTTTAATAAAACAAATAATGCAAGGCTTGTCCAAAAAGTAGTCAGAATTAATTTTTCATTAGGGAGGGATGGTACAAGATCTCTTTGGGAGGGTGTGCTGGCCAGTGCTGTCAGAGAAGTCTAGTAACCAGTGGTAGATGGTTCCAGCCCTTCGTGCAGAGTACATTGCACGTTAACCCAAATGTTTTCGAGTGGCTTTGCTACCCCCCACATGAACAGTTTACTTGAAGACAGCTTCGCGATTACAATTTGCATAACTCGGTAACCTGCAAGTGAAAGTTTTGTGTGATCCAGCTAGCTTACAAGGATGATGAGATGGAAAGATCAAGTGATCTTGATTGACGCCAGTTGGTTCAAAAAGAAGAGTTTGTTGAAGATGAGACTCACAGGTAGTCTGTACACGAGGTACAGAAGTAATTCGTTTTCACTTGGGAGCCTTGAAGAGTCTGTGAAAGACAATCGTTTGTACCATGTGTGTTGTCAGCTTATTTTAGATTACATCTCCAATAAAACAGGGGTTCATGAACATACATTTGTTGTGTTGTCTATCCATGAATTTTTTAGTATTTGTATGTTTGTATGTACTAATTCTCTTAACCTGCATTGGTTATTTATTTTACTCAGTTTCTTCAAAATAATTGCCATATCAGGGGAGGAAATGTCAAAACTTCAAAAATAAGCACTTAAGACAATTTTTGTCTATTTTGTCTAATTAACTCCTTGATTCACAATGGATGAGCCACAATAAACACTCAAAAGTTGGTTTGAAAAATACTTTCTATGCAAAAATTTGCATTGCAGAAACATATAAATTGTTTATTATTTACAAAAGCAGTAAATATATTTATTCACAAAAAAAATTAACACAAAAATAAAAAAGTTCCCAAATTACACAATTACACTGCTTTTTTATTTCTGTGTTAATTTTTCTTTGTGAATAAATATACTTATTTCTTTTGTAAACAATAAACAATTGATATGTTCCTGGAGTGTTTACATGTTTCTGAAATCCAAACTTCTGCATAGAAAGATTTTTTTCAAATCAACTTTTGAGATGTTTATTGCGGCTGTGCCATTTGGAATATCCAACACGTGTATTAAACAAAATATGCTTAAAATTAACTTAAGAGCTTATTTTCGAAGTTTCAAACTATCCTCCCCGAACACCCAGAATAGATCCCAACACACCCAAAGCACTTTTTCCATTACAAATATAATCTTTCATTTTTATTTCATGTCAACAATTACAAAAATTTCAATTTCAAATATACGTATAGATAACTGAAAATTCAAATTGCCCACCCACCAAACGACTTTCAGGATCTGGGTGGGGTGTAGGATCTGATTGTAGGGAGCTAGATCAAGTACGCACATAGATTCAGGGTGGTGAAAAAATTTGAAGACAAATTTTCCTGATTATTCTTCTTTTTTCTTTATCTTCTTTTTTTTTAATTCAATCCCTTTGGTTTAAATGATTTAAATTAAATGATTTTCCGGGGAAAATCATTAACTACTTGAATCAAAATTCTTTTTCTTACTTTCCACCAAATATTTCTCCAATTTTGCCAATCCTATTCCATAATTTTGTTCATTAATGGAATCCGAAATTAATTAAATAATTGCAAAAGTAAAAACTTAACTTATGTTTTCATATATCTAATATCCTTTTCTAAATACTTAAAAAAAGAAAAAAGAAAATTTAGAGATGTTAAATACTGGTATAATCCACATAATAACAAAAATATTTTGACAGAAGTCTGTACTTATGACCATGTAACAATTAGTAAGGCTTTTTTAATACATTGTTAATACAATACTTTCTCGAATATGTTGTTAAGAGAAAGTTATTTTACCCAAAAAATCACTTTCAAAATATTTATATGAATAAACAAGATTCTCAAAAATTGATCCATTCTTTCCACTATGTATTTGAATGTATAAATGCTGCAGTGATTTTGATTAAAATTTTTGATTTTTGAAAATTTAAACATGTAATTTTTTTATTTCATCTCCCAGGTCATTACCATTTCCTTTTTACGTATAATTTATAAATGAATGCATTGGGCTTATAAATCCTTTAAATGATCTCTTATGATTTTTCTGAAATCTCAAAAGTTTTCAAGTGTACATGGGTTTAAAATTGTTTTCATAAACCCTCATCTGAGATGTCCTAAAATTCAGCTCTAAATTTACCCCAAACAATTTCTATAGGGAAAGAGGTGTTATGATATAGTGAAAATGTCATTTCAATAAAACTTAGATTGTGCAAGATATTGTTTAACGAGATCGAATCTGAAAATTCTAGTGAACCACCAGTCTCTCTTGGATGCTATCCAACATGATGCATGAATTGTATGTATTATAGAAATGTATTCTCCAATCTATACATCTTTCAATATATAGAACGAATTTTTTAAATGGGTTCTCCAAGAACAACGGGTTATACAAAACTTTCTACATTAGGGACCAGAGCGGTTCTGGTAATTGTTTTCATTAACAGAATTCATGCTGCAATTGCAACAGATAATAAATATAAGATCTTCCAATCAAGTCTCAAACAAAGTGCTAATGCCTCTTGCAATGTAAAGATTTTGTACATGTATTTCATTAATTATTCAAGCTAGTTGCTTCCTAGCCATAAAAGTGTGTATTTGGTGGTTTCTGTACTTCATTACTTGAGGCACAATGGTGTGAAAAATGTTTTTAAATAACTTTTTTAGAGTAGTTGTTTTCTTTAACATTGGTGAAATTATGATAAATTTTAATGGGGTTAGGCTTTAGAAAATCTGAGTGATGGATTTCAATCAAAAAATTGTTAATGATTAAGCTTGTTCTGAGATCTGCCATTTTAGTCCAAAATAAGTTTGTTGCACTTGTTTTTTCTAAGTACCAATTCTGCAGGTCAGGGAACAGGCCAGTCATGCTGGAACTCTTATTTAATGAAAATAGGCCTTCAATACACTCTACAGTGTAGCATTAATTGACAAATAGAATACAACTAATCATCTACTTACAAACAAAAAGAGAAAGGGAGAAAAAGAGAAGGAGAAAAGAAAAAACTCATTACTGTTCTGCTTAACTGAAAAAGGAGCAGATGAAACTGTACCTGACCACTCATGGGCATTGCAGCTACTGTTAAATTTGGGCCTCCAGACGTCTCTTCAAGATGACTTATGTCCACTAAAGGTGTTTCACCATTGGCAAGACTGGCTGTGCATGCCACCATGTATTCGGTAATTGGAATGCCGGCATCTATGAGTGCCAAAGTAGCTGCATTTACACAGGTACAATAATTGCCTCCATCTGCTTGAAGAACCTGGAAAGGAAGAAGAAAAAAAAGAATAACTTCTTTACGATCCACACGAGACAAATTCAGGTTTAGGAACGAAAAACTCCTTAACATTTGAAATGACTAACATAAATTCGTTTTAATTTACATTTGCATGTTTTCACATTGAAAGATACATTTATGTACTGAATTTACCTAAAGGGAATTTGGTCAAAGTAAGGCAAAATTTAACCACACAAAGCAGTATGTGAAGATGATTCAATCTTGAGATTCCAATGGAATAGTATGTTTTAGGTTTTCAAATAAAGAAAAAGTACAATTTTGTTTCAAAAATAATTTAATTTGTTTGGACTTCCAACTAACAATCCTACTTGAGGATCCGTAAATCTGAACTGAATCTTACATTGACATGAACACGTGAACATTATGTGACATTTTTTTTAAGTTTTCTGAAAAATAGTTAGAAGCATTTTCTCTCAATTAATTACAATTACACAATTCTAGAGATCACACAAACAGTTTTCCAAGGGGGTTGAATTTGAAGCGGTGAACGTGAAAACAAAACTTTGTGGTTGTGATATTTTTTCTCTCTCCATATTCATGTCTCACCAACAGAAACATGAGAAGAATATTAAAGAATAGCAGTAGATGGCCCCCCAAACTGTGAATTGAGACACCAACCCAAGGTTTGGAAGAGAGGTACTGTGAGAAGCTTGTGATCAAACCAGGGAGAGGAGCAGACAATTTGCATCATGAGGGGGTATAGAGAACATAAATAGCAAGGAACATGAAGTACACACCTAAACAGTACAAATTCAGAGGTTGTCTTCCAACAGAGAAGTGCAATTGAAGGGGTTGAGTCAACATTATTGTAACTTTCACTTTTGTAAGTGTAAGTATTAGGAAAATCAAACTTTCTGTAAATCTAGTCGTTTTTCGATTGGTGTAGAAACTTTCTTTAGTTTTCTACACACTGCTGTGGTTTAATGAGCTTGTTTTTACAGTTTTTAAAATCTGGGACCATTGTTAGCTCTATTTTGGACTTGTGAATGTGGTTTATTCATAATTCAATTTTGACTTGCTCCTTTGAATTGAACTTTAAAAAAACATGTTTGTTACCCTATCACATAACGAGAGTATAAAAAATTGAAATGAGAACTTAAATAAATTATGCTTATTAAACCAAAACGAGGAAGATTTAACAAGTATTCTCCAGAAAAAAAGTTACATCTGTGTCTTCATATATAAGTACAGTTGAATTGTACTTTCGGTTGGCAACTTTTGAGAAAACCCATTTTTGTGAAAAGGATGGGATGGGACCATCCCATCCTATGGGACCATGCTTTAATGTATTGTTTGAATTGCATCCAAATTAGCACTGAATACACTCAAGGTTGTTTTGTGTAAAACACAAAAACCAAAGGTTTAAACATTCTGCTTCTTTGGAACTACGAGAGTGAGGCAAGTCAACTTGATTATCAAGAAACAAATAACACTCCCCTCCCACACACTCAAGAGTGTGTCCTTTAGCTGAGCCAAGCTTAAAAAGTATGAATTTCCTAATTTCACCTCACTCATCAATATAAACATAGGAATAAAGACAATGCAGCCTTAGTAAAAACTTACTTCAACAAAAATATCAATCTGTGATCTGGCGTATAACTCTGTTTTTATCACTGCCTGAAGAGCTTGACGTAAATGTATTGACATTTCAATCGACTTTCTGTCACCTCTTGGTCTTCTTTTCCTCTCTCCTGTGCTGAAAGTTGCCATACTATACTGACAATTTATTAGAGCCTGATCATGCAAGGCTTTAGTTCGGCTGCCCCGAATCTGAAAATACGTTACATTGCATTTCAGTTATTCAGTATTTCAACTTCCCATAGAAGTTTTTGGATATTTCTTAATATTATTTAACAAAAGGTTTTTAGGTTCCAATACATACTTCATGTGGACCGTAGACGGCAGCCAACACTTTAGTATTTCCCTGCTCCAAGTATGCACTTCCATCAGGTTGATTGAAGACACCTAATTTACACCGAATTTTCCTAAGTTCATTTGGTCTTCGTCCATCTAACCGCAAGCCTTGATCAGATATTAAATCCATTGCAGACTAAGTGAAATGTGAGCCCACCCTAAGCAATATGTTCAGATTTTGAGGACATTCAAACTCCAACACAACCACGTATTGAGTGGTATTGAGGTTAGAGTCTCAAAGACCACGAGGAAATCAACGCCAGTGCCAGTCCAACGCAATGGTTATGTTTCTATTAGGTTTTGTTTAGTGCGTTACCACCACCTGCCGATCACATTCTCAAATGATGCCAACGTTAACAAATTAAAAAGATTCAAATTTCTACAGAAAGAAGTTTTAGAGTATATTTCTGTCCAGCGATCGGCTTAAAACTTTAATTTACTATTGTAAATAGTGCTTTTTTCATTGCCTCCCTCTCATTTATTGAATGAAATAGTAGTATTATATATTTCGTAGGTTTGGCTAATGTGTTACAAAGAATCTATGATGATACTTGGCGGGAAACTGCATACTTCGATTAAAACATCACTTCGATTAAATATTCTAGTTCGTTGACACTTCGTCAGCTGAGACATGTTCATTCAATCGGAAGCTTAAAAGCTGTTGCTGAGATTTGTTTCTTAAAACGAGCTAGAATATACTGTGTAGAACTCAGTTTCTCGGCGCATTCATTATTACTTTATTGTATACGTACGTATATCCGTATACAGAGTATTATTCGCGCACGTTTTCTTGGGCCCTCGTTTCGCTAGTGGCGAGAAGAGTGGGGAGTTTTGGTTATTTTGAGGAAAGGAATTTTGAATCAAATTTGTAGTTTGTTTTTCTATTACGCGGTAGCGAACATTTCCGGTTATCAGATTTTTGTCTACAACGCTCGTTGCTATCATTTATTCTTCATTCAACTAATGTGCGCAAAGGGGGGGGGGGTAGGTATCCCGGGGCTCAAAAAAACGTGCGCGTATAATATACGTAATATATAGAAAGTTGTGTAATGCTGCGGCAAAAAACGGCGATTTTTCAACTGAAAAACACATAATGAGAGGCCCTGATACAGAAAATAGGGGTACTACCGACTTTCTGGTATTAATGTTCTATTTTCTTTGGTCTGGACTAGTTATTCGGCCTTACCGACTGCCATCTATCCTCGCCCAAACTACATTTTTTGAAATGTTTTCACATTTTCGGTGGAAGTATTACTGTAAGGATATTAAAGAAGAGTAAAACATCTTCTTGTATGGCTATTTTCATTGAAAAATGTAGTTGTTTTTAATAAAATCACATTAAGAGTTACTGTAAATGCGAAGTTTGAAGCTCTTTTTTACAGAAAATTAGTGAGTTTTCCAACTTCATTGCTAGTCATTTGAAGCTCTTTCACCCCTAATACAGTAGTTTATAAATAACTGGAAATATGCGCTTATTAACGGTGTGAGAGATATTTAAATAAATACATTTATGTAATTTTTGTCCAAAACAAAGAATACATAAAAATTAATTTTGTCATCCTAAGCACTGCAATTATCGCTCGAAAAGTTTGAAGGAAAATTTGGAGCGTTTCTGAATCAATGGCATTTAAACATTTCTCCAAACGCGGAAATTTGAGTTTATTTTCACAGAAAAGTTTTGAGTTTTCGAGAAATCTTATAAGACATCGTTTGTAACACTTGTACTCATAAATGTAGTAATATTAGCAAATTGCTGCTAATATCAATATTAAAGACGTGAGAGACAAGTAAAAAAATTACATTTTCGAATTTTTTGAAAAAATACAACAAAACAAATAGAGCAATATGGCAGTTTTCTAAGAAAATGAGTTTAAAATTCCGCATTTTCAGAAACGTTCAAACGCCATTTTCTCAAAAACAGCTTTAGTTTTCTTCAAACGTTTCGAAAGGATAGTGTTAATTGCGCTGTTTTTATATGACATAAAATTCATTTTGCTGCATTATTTTGTTGTTGCTTTTTCAAAAATTACATAAATGTAATTCTTTGGAAATATACCTCACGCCTTTAATGAATGAAAGTACTTCAAATGACTTCTAATAAAGTTTTTTGGGAACTCAAAAGATTTCTGTGAAAAAGAGCTTGAAATGTCGCATTTACACTTGAGCTTGGACGATATTTTCGTAAAAACAACACCAAATTTTTCAACGAAAAGTACCTTTTAGGACTGTATTTTACTCTTCTATATTTTTCTTAAAGTAATATTTCGGTTCTACCATTAGGAAACAGAAAAAATGTCGAAATTTCAACAAAAAATTGTATTAATTTGTTGTAGTTGTTTGAGCGGTGATAGATGGCACTGGAAGATGTGAGAAGTCCGAAAAGCTACCTTAGCCCAAAAAAATTAGAAAACTAACTAGAATGAGAAAGTTTGCACTATGTAGCACAGTTGTAGGAACACGCCGAAAATATTTGAAACTTTTGAAATTTTCGAAAATTTAGAACTAAGCATAAGTGATAGACTGAAGTATTCACAATGTGTAACACAAACGTAAGCAAAATAAGACTTTCTATAGGCTGTGATGCATTCTAGTTTACTATTGGTTGGATGTGAGAATCGATTTCGAGGTATCAACTGTGTCCATGGCCCATATGGCGTTAGTTCGTCTATCGACTTAACCCCTCTTTCGATTCTCGATTTGGAGTTATTACTCGCACAACTTTTCTTGAACCTTGCTTTCCCCTCTCCGGCACAATAAACAGATGAAGGCAAAAGCTTGCAGCGAGCACTGATGACATTCCAAACACATCTTCACTGGCGCGAAATAGAAACAATTTTCTTTTGAAGAGAACTTCTATCAGTTATTTTCTCCAAAAATCTAAAGAAATGACCGAAGCAGGTACGGATCTATCGCAGGAGATAACTCGAACTTCTGATAAAGTTAGAAGGCAAATTATTGAGAACATTAGAAAGGCGTGACTGATTCTCCAGAGATTATCATTGCTTCATAAAATCTAGAGACCGATTTCGTAATTAATACCCCCACTCTACCCGCATTTCTTCAATCCGTCGTTCAAGAAAAGTTGCGCGAGTAATACCGTACTGTGATTGGCTCATTTCTTGTCTTACTTAAGCATAAGCACAGAAGCTTGCAAGCTTTCAAGTTATCGTCTTACGCGTTATGCTTATGATAACGCTTTGTGAATGAGTCCTTTTATGGACGTAGTTCTAACTTTTATGTTAAAGCTATGCTTATGGTTATGTTTGCATTGTGAATGGGCCTTAATACTCAGTATATACGTACGTATACGGGAAAGTAAAAATGCTCTACACACCGATTTCTTGTGAAGAAAACCTTGTCGACCAATGTAATTCCCAAAGGACAATGGAGGTAGAGGAAGCAGTAATTCTTGATAATTGACAACGGAAAAGTTCAGATTTTCAATCCGCTTGCGTGCAAGATACTAGCTTTTTTAACATGAGCGAAACGCAATGTGTCAAATAAACGAATATTAATTATATATAAAATATCTAGAAACGCCTTACTTGTGGAAAATTTATTTTTATTTTATTTCCTACTTTTCAATTAACGAGGGAAGAATTGTAGTGTATCCAACATTTTCAAATTGTACGCAGTTTTTATGTTTATATATTTTCTGTTTTCGTACCATAGCAACAAATTCCACACTTTGTTTGATTTTGTACACGACACATTGTGCTGAAATAAACTACTATGAAAATTAGTTTACATATGTTAGTTACAGATGTTTCGCTCAGGGAAAACCTTTTTTGTTCTGTACGGAAAAGCGCTTCACATATGGCGTGTTAAAAAAAGTGGATCCTCTGTTACACGCAAGGGGATTGAGAGTCTGCACTTCGTTATTTTTCTCTCCCATTGTCAGTTATCAAGATTTACTGAGTAACGGCTTCGTCTACCTCCCTTATCCTTTGTAAGTTCTCATTTGACTATGATAATTTCGTGGTTGTCGTTCAAAGCGTGTGGTCTCGCGTCACAAAACAAGTATACTGGGAGGTTAAAATGCCTCGTATAACAAGAAGTTACCAAGACAACGTAAGAGCTGGGAGAATATATGTACTTGGCCAGCTAGAGGTGTTCCCAAGCCTGAGTCATGTTTTTATTAATTTATCATGTTCCAATAGAGTATCGTTTTTCTTTTACTCAATAATCAGAATTTTTTAGGGATCAGATTATATTACAAAATATATTACATACCTCACCGGGCAGAGAAATTCATAAAAAAACTGCTGCGAAATTAATCGCAAACGGTAGTACTGAATTACACCAGCTGGACTTCATAAAACAGCTGCATCTTATCACCGCCAACATCTTGACATTCGACAATTAGCTTCTCAAATATCGATGCCGCCTTGTTGCGATATTTCTATTAAGCTTTGCAGATTGCTTAAAAAGAAATACATCAATATGTTGAGAATACAAATTGGGTAAAAAACTTTTTTAAAAAAAGTAAAAACTGTATTTGATGTATGGGGGAAAAGATTATCTGCGCACATCTTCTCGAGTCCCACAATCACTTCCCGTCATTGAATAGTCGAAAGATGAGTAAAAGTTTAAAATAAATAAATAAAAATACCGTCTCTTATTACATAAGTAAGAAAATTTAAAGAAAAAAAAATTGGTGCGGTGTTTGGGAAAACAAAATTCGAACATTTCAATCGGAAATAACGCAAAAACTAGTTTTTTAAAAAGGTTGTATATGACTATTTCAAAGAGCTAATTTTGTACAACTGATTTTGCCTGAGACAAAAATCTCTTCTCTCCAATTTTTAAGTTAGATTTTTTTCTTCCAATTTTCGAAAAATCGGGGATGTCAACGAAAAAGACCTGCACCATTCTCTTGAACGTCCTTGGATTCAACAACAAAATTTAATCAAAGAATTGGAGCTATCTTTTGAAAATGTCCCGGGGGTTCATGTAATGCACCCTCCAAAATTGATATATTGGTTTCAAATCCCAAGGGCCGTGACAGCAATCAGCAACGATTGGGGAATATCAATTTTAGAGAAAAACGGCTGAACTGTTTATGCGCTAACGTTGTGCACACACGGCCAGACATTGCCGTCAATCGATTTTTCGGTATCGAGGATCACAAAACATTAATTCGGCTGAACGGTTGAAGTGACGGGATTTATCCACTTGCTTACCAGGGCCCAGCCATATGAGTTTTTGTGTCGAAAATTTGCCGTTTTCCAACGCACAATTACAATACTCTCTCTTTTTACGTTGGTAAGTGCCAGAAAATAAAAATGTCCAAACATGCTGAATGCATGAATTTCTCCAAAAAATTACCAAAACCTTCAAACATGAATGAAAAAAATATATTTTTTTACACGAGTTGTCTGTGGAACATATGTCCACAAACTTACAATTCTCTACCAAGCATAAATAAAACATGCATTTGCATGTAAATTCAATCTCTACTGAACATAAATACTTTAATATTTTGTAAAAACTTAAATCTTACTAGAAAAGTATGCTATGACCAAATATGTAGGATTATAAGCAAATTTGTGGTTATGTTTTTTTTTGTCTTCGTAAAATTAGTGAAATAATTTTTATTTAAATTTTCACAAATTAAAGATACTCATTTTTTTCTTTTCATTTTTATCAACCTTTGTTTGGTGAAGAGTATTGCAAGAGATGGATGAAATAGTGTGTCAAAGATGGAAATAAAATATTGGATTTATCAAGATTTGGATTATCAAGGACGGATTTATTCATTAACAATAACTCTCTGAAGTGTCAATCGTTTGTGACATTAGCATCCAGAAAAATATTTCTTAGACAAGAAAAACTTCAATGGAAATGAAGCAGAATGTATTAAAAAAGTTTAATTTTATTATATTTCTTGCACTACATATAATAATATGAAGTATTTTCATAGAAAACGTAACATATGGTGCACAATTCAGAGGCATATTCTTGTTTTTTTTTTTTTTTAAACCATCATAAGAGTTTGAAAATTTCTTAAACAGCTTCAGGACTTGAATATGTCCGATAAGATATTATTCTACAGTATCTAGATGACAGTGATACACCACAATCAATAACAGTAATTTCTGGAAGATTTGCAAAACCATGAATTCAAAGTAGTCCAAACGGTCTGAATGGTAATGTGAACTAGAATCAAGAAAAATTTCTCAGGAATGAAAATCATTGTACAATCAGCATAAATTTATAATTTGTTCTGCATATTTCAAAATTCATAAAAACAACTTAGATATATTTTACTGTACACATTGTATTTTTCATAAAGTGTACTTGTACAGAAAAACTTACCTGGAGGCTTTTCTACATGATACTTTATTTTTTATTTCCCTAAAACTAAAAATTCTTCATTTTCAATATAGCATTTTATTGCATTGTGAATAACATTATCATCTTTCAAATTATGGCCTTATCTTCCAAGATTTGTATTTCATTTTCAAGGTCTGATAGGATACACAAACATGCCAATGACATACACTCAAACTCAACAAGTACTTCTTGATTGCCACCACGTCAGTGCTATTGTCATTAAAAAATTAAGAACGAGAGGTTTTAAGTATATACTAACAGAACATTGGTTGATACCAGCTGAAAATGGGTCTTTTTCACGGCAGAAAAATCACAGAATTAATAAATTAAAGCTAAAATCAGAACATTGTATTCTTTTAAAATCATTTAACGTCCATATTTTGATTTAAATTACTAGAAACATATGCTGATCTTGAAAATATATTAATAGTTTTCTTCTTCAGAATAACGTCTTCACTTTTTACACAGCTTCAGAGAATAAACAGCCATAAGCCATTCATTAAATAAGAATGTCACAAAATTGTACCAGAATAATACTTGCAATGGTGAAAATTACATTCGGAAATCTTGTGACCTTTATGAAAAGAATTCAGAAGAGTATGTAAGAAAACATTTTGATTGAATTTAAGTCTTTCCGATGCAAACTTAAACAATAACAGTAAACAAAACTTCTTGATAAATGTCCATAAAATGCTTCCTCTGAAAACCGTGGCACTTGGTTGGAATTGCAATCAGTCTGCTCCTAGTTTCTCAATTTCATCAACATCTTCAGTATCCAGAAGCTGAATTTTCTTTCCTGAAAAGAAAATAAATAAATAAAATAAAACACCCCTTCAAGACTACCCAGAATTAAAAATGAATAATCTTGCAAAACATGCGGAATACCCAATTTTCATTTGAACAATGATTTTTAATTTTAACTACAACCACATCACCTGCTATATTAAAATTATTAATATTTATTAATAATTAATTATTTGAGCAATTTATATAATATTTGAACCTTTAACTTATTAAATGTGAACAATATAAGGCAAATTGTCTATCTGCATTAATAAAAACGAAAGTAACAATATTTTATGTCTAACTTATGAAGTATCAATTGAACATGGTCCACTCTATATTATAATATCATTTTGATGGTTAGCAATCAATATGGGAGTGATAATTCAAATGATGATGATGATGATGATAATGATTAAGGTTTACTGTAGCTTCAACATCTATGGTCATTGGTGCCTGGGTTAAATTTTGTTAAGAACAAATAACTAATGTGGCAGTGGTAAGCTAAAAATCTTTGTCAAATGCAAAGTAAAATTAAGAAAGAAATAATAAGAAGTGTATAATCATGACTAGTATTACAGAAGATGTCACAGAAGAGCCAGATGAACATTTAAAATTTTATACACAAAATCCATGTTCAAAATGTTATTTATGCGTTATATCTTTCTTATTGACAGTTAGGCTTTGGCATATGCAGCATTGATACACTTTACTTCCCTTTTACTGCCCCGATATGCAAGGTCTTTCGTAGGCAATCTAAAATAACTACTAAATTTCCTTTATTTTACATAAAAAACAGTTAACAGTTAAAAACTTTGTATGTTGTGCTACAGGGAGAAGTGTATTCTCAACTTTGGGATCCCTATCCTAAACCACATTACAAGTTGAATTGTGAATACAGAAGAAATGAGTGTTTTCGTCAAGAATTGTTAATGAAATATTGGCTTCAATGTAATAAAATCAATTTTCAAAGGCAAATCAGCTATAGATTTGGGTTTTTATCCTCCATTGTGTCATTCGTGAAGGTATATACTTCTGCCATAACAACACGGAGAATGACAATTTGAATAACTATATTTTCTACTGGACACTAAGAGATGTGCACAGATAATAATAATAAAGTTACATTAATGTCGAAAACAAAACAAGGATCATCTCAGCATTTGCTCAAAGGATCATGGACCAGACCAAAAACCAGATTGAGATGTGGGTCATTGACCCAGAAGCTACAGGTTGTTTAGAATTATACATCCAAATGGCAAATAATACAATAAATAGCATGGCTAAAATTAATGTTAATGCTCCGTATAGTCTCTAATTGTATAGAAATGGTTAATACTAATTTTCAGCCATATATTTTTGTAATTTTTCATTTGGATTCTTTTAATTAAGTGAAATTTTGATGATGTGCATTATAAATGCATGGCAGAAGCTTTCTGTTGGTTGAAGCACTCTCATGAGACTCCTTGTCCAAAGAGTCATTTTGTTGCTAGGGAGCGTTGTCTGTGTGCAACCTCTCGTCACAGGGGCCAAGGGTATTAAAAATCTCCTTTTGACTCTGATGACAGTGATCAGGAATGAACCCTGCCACGCATGCCTCCCATTAGGGAATCTGCGGATTGAGCAGCCGGGGAACGCTGGTTCAGACGAAAAATAAGGTGAGTCGGGGCAGTCACACGAAGGGTGTGGTTACAGTAGGTAGTTGAATTTAATCAAGGTTGCACATCCCTTGAAGATGACCCAAGTGATGGATGGCCAAAAATAGCAACCACACACGAAACAATCAAAAAAGGGCTCAATATCATGTAGGACAATAGGCGAGAGAAGGTAAGTGAGATAGCTGAGAGTGTGGGAATATTGGACGAAAGGGTGTGAAACATCTTGCGCAAAGTATTAGGGATGCGAAAGCTCTGTGTCAGATGAGTGCCACATTTGCTGAATGCCAATCAAAACCAAATGCGAAAACTATTTTCGCAGCAATTTTTAGACCAATACAATCGAGATCCAACCGATTTTGTGCGTCGCTTTGCCACAATGGATGAGACATGGGTCCACCACTACGCGCCAGAAATGAAACAGCAGTCCAAGCAGTAGGTGGAAGCAGGTGGTGCAGCGCCAAAGAAAGCAAATACAATCGCATCTGCCAGAAAGGACATGGCCAGTGTGTTTTGGAATGAGAAAGGGATTGTGTTAATTGATTATCTTACAAAAGGAAGAACAATTACATGCGAACATTACTCCAACCTTCTTGACCAGCTGGATGGCAAAATTCGCCAGAAGTAGCCTAGCTTGAAGAAGAAGAAAATCATCTTTCCCTAGGACAATGCATCTGTGCGCAAGGGAGTGTTGGCGATGGGAAAACTGCAACATTTGGGGTATGATTTGTTCGGCCATCCCCGATATTCTCCTGATTTGGCACCATCACACTTCCATCTGTTCCCACAATTAAAGAAATTTCTTTCTGGGAAGCGCTTCGCATCCACTGAAGTTGACAGGGTTTTAGATAATCATTTTCACAACCTTCCAGACTTTCACTGCCGGGAAGGAATACTAATGTTGCAGAAATGCTGAACCAAGTGTGTTGAAGTCAAGGGAGATTATGTACAAAAATAAAATAATTTTTTAACTGAAAACCACAGTCTTTTCACCTTGCCCTTGAATGTACATATATAGGCATTTATTTTTTCCAAAATGTGTAAGAAAAAATATAAATTATGTAAAATAAAAATTCATTATTGTGTTTAAAATTGATCTATGCATGCAATTTCCAAACACATATCAGCCAATCAGATCTTAACATGGAGCAAGTAAAAGGAAGTTCTACACTGTAAGTAAATTGTACACTGCTCTTCACCTCACAATGTTCACAAGGAGTCATTGCTGAAGTGAATAGTAGCAAAGCAGCCAATGATTGATTCAGAAGTAGGGTAAGGGAATATACTCAACCCCCCCCTCAAATCTAACAACGCAATAAAACAATGATCTGTAAAAACATATATGTTAGTTTCCGATAGAGTTAAAAATGGGCTTTTCAAAGCAACATAGCATTTGGTTGAAATTATAATCATCCTTGATTCAGAGATTGCGGTTTTGAAGAAGTAGGGGAGGGAAGTATCATTTTAAAGATATGGTAGACAATTCCAGAAACGTGCACCTGAACTGTCCAGTTTCAATGTTAAAATTAGATTACAATGCAAGGAAATTTGTAATAAATATATAGTAATAGGTAAAATATGTAATTATACCAAAATATTTAAAAATATCCAGATGATTGTAAACTCTGTAAGTAGATTACGTGTATAATCTAACATTCCTAACAATCAGTACTAAATGCATTAGCTAAATGGTGTAAACTGATGATTCCTCCATTCTCCTTTAAGTCCTTTACACTATCCAACAACAAAATTTAATCAAAAACGATGGAGTCATTTTTTTGAAAATTGTCTCAGCGGCTACTTGTAAAGTACTCTCCAAAATTAAAACTTTTCTGAAAATCGGTTGAACGATTTAGCCGCTAGGGTTTTTCTCACAGACAAATTTTGCCGTCAAATGATTCTTCAGTTTCAAGGGCCCACAAAACATGGATTCTGGCTGTGTTAGAGGTTTTTTCCTAAATTTAGCATTTGGATTTATACACTTTTTCTTACCACAGCCCTGTAATCAGTTTTTCTGCCAAAAATTCACATAGAATTTACATTTTTTCACATAGAATTACATACCTTTCCCTGTACTGTTTAAGCGGTAGTGAGAAAGTAAAAAAAGTCTAACCAGAATCCATGTTTTGTAGGTCCTTGATACCAAAAAAAAGTATTGATGGCAAAACGTCCTTCCGTCTGAGAACAACATTAGCGCCTAAACAA